AAGTGGAAGCTTGACTGCAACAAACAATTCCCAAAATGAACTTTAGCAATACTAAAAAAAATTTTTTTCTGAAAAAAACTAATTTAAAAATCAAGGTCTTATTCACAACTCTACAGCGAAACTAGTAAATGAATATGGTAGAATTCTTACGTTTGGATTAAAAGCGATGTATTGATATTTGTAAATTACTAAACCCCAGTTTTCCATAGCACCGGCTCGAAACTCGGGAAGCCCAATTTGATCTAAAATTGTTTTAAAGTGTGCATTTCCTCTGTGTCTCTTCGATTTCCGCTTCATATGAAAATTTTTTGAAGAATCAGATTCTGTTCGAAATCAAGGATACACAGTGATTTTTGAAGATAAAAAGTTGGCCAAAAACGGAATTATCTGTTGTTTAATGGCAAAAAAGTAGTGCCGTGCACAGCTGCAGCTAAAACATTCTACCACCCTACCTGTTTGAGTAAAGAACTTGAAACATTTAATTTTTAAAGCGAACTACAAGATAGAATATTTACTACTGAAAAATCAGTTTAAAAAAACGATGAGTTTTGAAAAGTTAATAAGAAGATTACAGTGTCATTATCTTTTTTTCAGTAAATCATTTAGTGGAAAATAAAGGTGGCAAAAGTTCGTTAAGCAACAAAAGAATTAAGTTGAATGTTTATAAGGCTTGACTTGTAACCACCTGATTTCGACATCGGATAGGTGAAGTTGGTATAAAGACCCATTTGGTACAAACATTTTGCCGATATATTCGCGGCAAACTCCAAGTACTCATCCTGGCCTGTCCACCCCCAAATGCGCACCTGAATCAAAGTAAATTTATTAATAAAAAAGTAACTTTCAACCAATTTTTTTGAGTTTGTACGATTACTGTAATTTCAAATACTTAATTTTCTATGAGTCGAGAAATTCTTACTAAATTTCAAAGCAATTACAGCACTGTAAGAGCCGACTAAAAAACCTAATGCTGCAGTAATTACCAAAGTGCCAGCGTCGTTTACGACACTTTTAGAAACAAAGGGACCGATGGCTAAAGCGACGAGGTAAGTGGACATTTTTAGACTGGGTCGAAATCGGGCAACATTCCAACCATTACTGGAAAGTATGTCTTTTTATTTATTATTCTTTAACGCTTATTCTTGACTTTGATAAAGATGTTTAAGTGATTCGTCTGATAAATCTCCTTTGAATTCAGTTGCCTTTAGAGCTAAGCAAACTGTTCTAGTTTTGCTTGCATTAAGTATACAGGAACAATTCAGAATTATACTAGCATCTTACCGAAATTTTTGTGGCATTGTCTCCATTCCGTTACCAAGAGCGATCAAGTTTTCAGGATAGATTAGCGTTAGATGAAACCTCGCTTTAGCAGACGGTTGGTCGATGCATGGGAACACAGCGCGAGCCTGAACTCCGTTCTCCATGTGAGTCGAAACCATCCAGCTTCAAAATGAAAGCGTAGAAATTAATGTTCAAGATTTTTAACCTGACATCGCTTGTTGGACGCTGTGGTTTGGCATCACAGTTTAACAGAAAAAAAAAAAAAAACAAATAGCTTTCCAGTTTATGCTACTGAGAATATGCAATTGTGACTTCTAATAACTACGGGTACTGATATGAACTCGCAAATGTAGTGAGATACTACATACTGTCTCTTCGCGAAAACGTCATCATAGTATGTGTAATAAAGTCCTCCTTCATTGTATGGTCGAATGCGGCCAGTGTATTTAAATTGTAAGATGTATGTAGAGCCAACTTTTGGTTTTAAAGTCGGTGTAATTACCTAAATTTTTTTGACCTTTTCTCATTTTCTCGAGTAAAGTTTAAAATCTGTTAGATCTAAATAATATAGTCTTAAACATTTTTTGACAAAATGCTTTACAATAGGTTCTGCTACTTATTGCAAAGACACCAAAAATACGTATTTTCAGACTAGCTTTGTAGGCTTACAAGATGCTGTAAATTTAAGTCGAGTGAATAGTTTTGGATTTGCATCACGGTTCCTTCATCATTCAGTAGCTGGATATCACTGTAGGAAAGTTCGTATGTATGAAGAGTAAAAACGTTTATTTTCTGTTTTACGGTAAACCGAAACGTTGTCATGCCATCGAAGGTCATATTTCGTTCTGCAGTTTACTTGTTAATGAACCACTTTGGTGTACCATAAAAATTTTTGTAAATATGAAAGAACAAAGCTTTACTTTAAGCTGTTTGGCAGTTTCTTCATTCTTAATAAAGAACCTGCAGTCAAGTTATAAAAGTACATACCGGAAGAAACCTTGACAGAGTCCGCTGGAAAGTACGGTTGCAAACGTATAAAGTAGTCAAGTGCTTCAACATCGTCAGGTAACTGAGGATCTTTTGCATTTTTAACAACTGGCCTACTTTGTTTGAGTTCTTTAAATAGTTGGTATCAGTATTGATGTAAGTTAAAGAAGGTTTTGTTTTGAAGCAACAGCAACTAAATTGGTTATTAATTATAAACAACAAAATTCTTTTCTCGTTCTGATTATGTTTTGCTTCAAAACGACCAGTTACATTTTGGCTTAGTCTATAGTCAGGAGGTGGAATACTGTTGATATTACTTATAACCTAGAAATAAACTTTTTTTTCCAAATCTTACTTTGTTTCTGTTTTTTTTAAAGTCTCCTAGAATAAACTGAACGAGAACTTTCTAAAAAATACATAGATTAAGAGAGCATGTTTTGGTTTTTTAACCAGTGTTCAATTTCGGTCACTTCGAGTATTGTTAGTTGGTTTGAAGACTTTTTTTGCATATTACTGCTTATTATTATAAATCTAATTGATTCGTTTTTATTTCAATACACAAGGAGAAAAAACTTGTACTTTATAGATCTAAACTAAATTAGGTGAGCTAACAAGTAGCCAGACTTGAAAACATTATAACACTGATTAATGCATAGCTTGCCTGTGGTAAAGAGGCCAATATCGTAGGTGTTAACTGTTTGACGACCAGCAAGGAAGATAAGAAATAACGTAAAGTAGATCACGAATAGCATCTTTGTAAAGTCGTGCTTAGCTTTCAGCGAATAATCATCAAATTTTTATTGGAAAAATTTTTGTTTGGAAGAATTTCAGAAGTTTTAGAGCCTTTCTAATTGCGGTATTAAAATCTTTATAGGCAACTGTAGCAATTTTTATGTTACTGATAATTGTTGAAAACACTTTTTTTGCACTTTAATGTTTGCTTCGATCAAACTGTAATTGTTGATTCTGCTTGAAACTCCATTACATTCAACAAGAAAACAAATAGATGCCTTTCAGTTATTTCTTTCTAATATTTTGACTAATTTTGTCAAGCATAATGCACATGTGACTGAAATGATTAAAAAAAAGATGAGCCTAATTAGCAGTTGTTAGCAGCGTTAAGCTGCAAAACTTGACGCTAAAAAACAAAATAGATAACAGCTTTAAAGAAAAAAAAAAAAGGTTTTTTTTCAAGGTTTTTTTTCAATCACATTTTAGCAATTATTTTAAAAATTAACAAAAGCTTGATAAAACTAAGAAAGATTGTAATAAAATTGTTAAAAAGCTTATTAAACAATAAATGCAGTTATTTTAAGTGCCAAAATACTGTAGAATTCACGTCACTGTATCCGAAATGTTTCGTTTTGTCACATATCCTGCACTGCAGTTCTCTGTCTTCCTTAGAGTAGTTCTGAACTTGACAGAATAAATTATCTGACTGACTGTCCAGGATTCTTCTTCTCTGTTTATTGCTTTAATTTTATGGAGCCTTTATTTTTTGCTTTCAATTATCTGTACATTAAGAAAAAACCAACAAATAAAACTGTTGTTTTTATACAAAGAAACAATAATAATAAAACTTCTAATACAAAAAAAAATATAATAGCACGTAAAATGAACCAATTGATAATATAAAGTGACTGTTTCAGCACTATTACCATCAAAAACTTTTTTTGGACAGATAAAATGTTTAAAAGTTTTAAACGTTCATAAAACAGATCATATCGTAACAGTATGTTTAAATAATAAATTCTAATTTTTAGTAGTCTGGAAAAGTCGAAAAAACAATTTTTTTGAAAGTTTTTTTTGCAAAAAATAGTGTTCTAAATTTTCAACTTGAATGTCATTTGGCTCAGTTTTATAATACCAAAAATTGAATCAAACTAGTGATTTTGATGAGCTCATTCATAACATGAAAAACTTTTTGAAAATGACGAGACTTCTTTATTGCAATAAAATAGTAGTTTTTCATTCAATAAATGACAATCGCTTTGTTCCTTGTTTATTTTAACAATTTCTGTAATTCTTTTTTTTACTGTTTACTCAAAAACCTGATAGTTTAAGTTTTTAGGTGTTAATTTTTTCAACCACATGTTTGTGCTGCTAGTACAGTAAGTCTTTTCTGTAACCTAACACACCTGAATTTGTTTTGGTGACCATCTTCTAAATGAAAAATACACTGCTAATCTTCAATTGTGGTTCATTTACACGCTAAATTTGTTCTGAATTGGTATAATGAGATTTTATCTGATTATCGCTTAATTCTGAATTCTTAATCATAATTTCCAGCAAACGATAAAAAACTTTTCTGAGAGCTTCATAGCTGTAACAGAAAGCAAGAAGAAGAGTGAAAATTGTCAAAGAAAACTTACAGACAATTCAAAATTAAACAGAAAATCTTTCGTATAAATTTTTATATAGTTACTTATAAGCATAACAAATTGAATATAAACCTTTTGTGTGTTACAAAGAAGTGTGCACTGTGATATCAATGATTATCAAACTTTTGTTCACTTTTGAAAAAAATTAAGTTAAAAGAATTCTATAATTAAAAAATGTTAAAATAGTTTTTTCAACACACTTTTTTGTTACTAATCGACTACCAAAAAGAAAAAAGTTGATGAATATTTTTGTTAACCAAATATTCAGAAGATTATGGTAAGATTGATGTCAATTTTACGACGATCACTTGTTTGTTTCACTTTTGCCCTCGCTACATTTTTGACCGTTAAGGTTATTTTTGTCTGTTTTAATTATCTGTAGGATTTACAACTGCATGTAAAAATGCTGATTTATTTTGCGTATGATATTATGTTAATAATCTAATTTACAGCTGTGATTACAATTAGCTTCTATCATCGCCTTACTGTTTATGAGTTTAGACTTAAGGTTTCAGTTCTACACAAGTGTTAAGACAGAGATAAGAGCAAGTCTAAAAAACTAACTAAACCAAATCAAAATTAAGTTTTTTCAAAGTTTCTTATTAGCAATTTTATTAATAATTGAAATCGAAGAACAGGAAGCAAAAGTATTAGATTTACAAGATTAGTTTAATGTTCAAAAACCAGTTGTCTTAATTTTGCGTTTAACAGAGCTGTGGTACTGACTTTGTAAACTTAGTTAATCTTTGGAAAAAAACGCATTCATAACTTCCGCATCAGCAGCACAGTTTACTATGATGCATTCCAGCTGCAGCAATAATATTTCTTCTTCTACTAAACAATTTTTATAATGTTTTGTAGCAAAAAGTTGTTTAATGTAAACGTATTTTCTTGTGAACTTTTATCTATTAAGTGAAATGTTTCGTTGAATATTCAAAGAAAACCAAGTAAGCAGCGTTCTGTTACAGAAGATATTCAGAACGATGACGAAGATAAGAATTGTAAACATAGGATCTCTAACATTTTACAAATAGACAATTAGTTGATTTTTTTTCCTTCTTATGTGCTTTTTTTTTATATTGCAAAGCTTGTTTTTACCGATATATATATATATATATATATATATATATATATATATTTTATACAGATATACATATATATAGCACTACTAAAGTCAGTGTTCTTCTTGGTGGACATCTAGAAGAAAAACTGCATTGTAATAAAAACTGACAGTTAACTGTTGGCCTATTCCTGATGTGTTACAGATTCATAAAAATTTCTCATAACTATTTCTAGCAAAAACTCAGAAGAAGAATAATCAGTCTAAAGCAATTTTTGTTTTCAAATTACATATTCGTTGAATTTTTAATTTCACATAGGGAGCAGTGAGTCGAGCATTTCAGTTGATTACAGGTAATAGTTATGTTATAATTGTCTATTCTGTATTCTTTGTCTTCCTTGTCGTCATTTTCTTGCCTCCGTAATTCACTATTGAGCATTTGTATTGACGAACTCAAATAATTTTGTCTGTTGTCAGGTTAATATACAATTACGTGCTTATTAAGAACATTGAATTTATCAAACACCAGGTACTGTTTTCTAACTTTTATACTCAAATGTGCAAAATTTGTAACTTTTTCAATCAGAACTAATCATTTTTACACATTCTTTCTCAGTCTGACCAGTAAGTTTAACAAGCATAACAGAATGTAGAGGTGCAAATTGAAAGAAACACTATCTAAGTCGATAGAAACCAAAGGTCGCATAGCGGATCGATAATAATTGAAAAGGATATTGAAGCAAGTTGGTAAAAACACTTTAAAAGAGCTTGATTAATTGCGGCAGAACTCTTAAGTAAAAAGCACCCTGTTTAAGTCAGAAATTACTTGAAAACGCCTCGAAAAACATGTGCAAAAAACACAGTAAGATGACAGAAAAACAGTGCTAAGTCCATCACAGAGACATTACGCAGTTTTTAAACGCTGCAGAAGTTATGCACAAAAGCTGTTCTCAATGTCCTTGCTTCAGACAATCTCCTGAAAATGAAGACTCATTTTTCGCGTTTGGTACTGGTCCATTATCTCAGATGTTTAGGAAGAAGTTGGTCTAATCTTTGGTGTTTTGCTTAAGCTCACTAAACCTGGGCCTAAGCACCTCGTGCGTATAATAGGTTTTATTAATAATTTCTGTAAAAATACAGTAGACATAAAATTAGTAAGAGCAGTCTTAATAACTAGTATACACATTGTTGTATGAACAGTAAGTCAGTAAGAAACAATGTAAAAGCAATTATTCTTTATTACTAACAACACAAACGGTAAGAACACTCTACTCATGGGCACGTGAAAGAATCGTGAAGAGCATATGCTACAGGCAGAATGCCACTGATCAAAGTCGATTTAGAAACTCCAAGTCTTAATCGAGTCTCGCATCTGTTTATACGCAACTCCTGCTGTCGTATTGGTTTTTTATCTTGCCTTTCTGAGAGCTTCTCTTTAGCAGATCTTCAGTAGCTGACTGCGTCTACATTATAGCTTTGACATCTCTCGTATGGCAGCGATAGTCAACTTAAGCTTTTATACGACCTAAACCAAAGCGTAATACTCGACTTGCCCATTTTGCTCAAATCAAAATTTGGATGCTGAAGCGATAAACTGCTTCACATATAAGTGAGTGACGGTATTTGGTACATCTTTGTAGCTCGCAAAAGCAGACCTTCACCTTAATGTCTCTTTTATAATTACAATTATGATATGCCCAGAAAAGATTAAGCGTCTTGTAAGAATAGGCTTAATAAAGTCTGAAGGTGACGTTATTGCAATTGGGATGCGTACTTTGTTATTTTCAGGGAATTTATTTTTTGGTTATTGCAGCAGTTAATGCGGCGATAGAACTAAACTATATGCTATTTGTTTAACAATCTATAAGATCTCAATTTCTGATTACATCTGTTTGTCATGGAGACAGTGAAAATTGTTAAAATTAGGCAGTCATTTGATAGTTTATAAGATCTTACTAGCGATTAGACTAGTCGTACGACATGAAGAGTCGATTTAAATCACTGCTCCCATTTTTTTTCAAAATTGTTTTATTAAATTTTGGGCTTTTTCTACAGACATCGATCCCTTAAAGCCAGAAATTATCTATCCGTTTTCTATTTGATTTTTCATGGTTTATTTATCAGATTTCAACACTACAGTTTTATAAATTTAGTAAAGCAAGAGGTTTTGGCTGTTGTAAAATAATGTTTTTTTTTATCTTATTTTTCAGAGAGGTCTTAATAATAAGCACATTAATTTGGTGTCTTTTTTTGCTATATTGAAGTTTACGATTTTTGATATTCTTCTTTTGTGTCAACAGTCATTGTTTTTCTTTTTTTGTAAACAGGACAGGCTTTTGAACAAATGTATCAAAATGATAAGTGATTTTTAATAATTATTCTCCATTCGCTTACAGTCAGAAGTGAAAATGCGTCTGCGTGCACATCGTGTCGACCACCAAGGATCCGACATGAAAGAATTATGAGGCTGTGGGAAATCTACGCTTGTTTGGAAAAAAACTATGAACCTCTATTTATAAATTTTAAGTTCTGTGCAGGTTTCATACAACTTACTGCAAATGAAACAGCACAAATACTTTTAAGGCAAAATGTGTTCCTGTTCTTCCTTTTTTTTTTACGATTACCACTTGACTTCACCTCTGAACCTTTTTTAATTTTACAAAGAACACTCAGATTGAAAAATATAAAATCGACAAAACTTATTGGTTCTGTAGAACTGGTTTAGGGTAATTACGCTTTTAAAGTCGGATCAAATAAGTTTTCTTCGGAATCACTCATTTTGAGCTTATAACATTTTTACATACAAGATGTGTATTAGGCAGTTATGGCAGAAGGTATTTAGACAGTTGCTAGGAAGTTTTGTAGGTTTTTGCAAAAACTGTTTAGGGCGGACTGCAAAGAAGAGGCAAAAACAGATTGGTGCTCTCTTATTTGATCTCTTGAGGGCTCCTGCAAAAGGTTTGCTTACCATATGTGTTACCGTTTTTCTTTGAGCAAAAAATGTGCGAAGGATAACTGCAGTGGTTATGGTGTAAGGGTGTTATGAAACATTTATTTAATCTTCGCTGAACCCACAAAACTGGTTTCTTAAAGTGCAAGTACATTTCAACCACATAAAACTCTTACTTAAGACCTGAAAATTTAAACTGCATTTAGCCTCTGTAAGTGACTGTCGCCGTACCTTTCAGCTGCCTGAGAGAGAATAATTGTTCAAACATATGACTACTCTACAGAGTTTTGATACGCCTGATGTGGTTATTGTCGAGCCATGGCACTAATCCTGCTTCCGTCTTCGTGTTCTCTATTACCCATGCAATATTTGCTTTAACAACTTTAATGCCAGATTCCAGCGTATCTTTGTCAGTTTGAGTACTCAAAACATTGGCAAGTGATTTCAGCTAAAAAGAAAGATGAAAATTTAGTGATGGTGATGGCTGCGATAAACAAAAAAAATAAGATATAAAAATTTGGGTGTTATTCAGTCGTAAGAATAATTGCATTAATTAAATAAAAATTTTAGAAAAACTAAACAGTTCGGTACTGTATGACTTTGTTACCTCATTCAATTGTTCATCAGTGGTGTAAGTTTTAACTGCAGCTCTAATAAAATCAGAAAATTCTGCAGCACCATAAACAGAATCTGGATTATCTTTGAAATATTTTAACATTTCGGTATCCTTACAATTTTGCGCAACATATTCAAACGCAGCAGACGGATAATCTCCATTAAATATCTTTTTCAGTATTCTGTAATTCAAAAAATAATTATCTCGCGACCAACCTTTTAAAAAGTAACCGTGAAAATCAAAAATGCTTCAAATTCTGATAAAATCTAACCCGACAAACGAAACATTAAAGTCGAAAATCATCAGAAGTGACATTTGTCAGCTTGAAAGTGGGTTACCTGTTTACATTGGCTTGATTTTGAACGCAGGATAAGGAATAAAGCAAATTGTCCGTATCCCTACCAAAATATTTGGCATTTACCGCTGACCAAGTGTAAAGTTTTTCAACTAAATCATATTCTGTAGAATTCTTCTGCAAGCCATAGCAGTACTGGCTTCGGCGGAAATCTGGTGGAAGACTATAAAGAATTTACAGAGTTTAAGTGAAAAATTCTTTTTAAGGTGTATAAATGTGAGACAAATAAAAATTTTTTATGCTTGCTTGTTGCAAGTGCGTGTGCCGTATTGTGAGTATCGACAGCTGTCAGCAAATTCCGAAAAAGTGTCACTTGCTTTTGACAAGCAATCAGGATCGCCTATTCTGCACAAATACTCCACAACTGTCGCAGCAAGTTGACTAAAACTTTCTCGGTTATAAACACTGTCGTAACAGTCTGCTAATAAATCAGCAGTAAAAACTTATTATAGGTACTCGGTCTATTGCTTCAGAAATGAACTACGTCGTAAAGTTCTGCCGGTAATGTAAGTTCGAAATTTGCCTCACCAAAATTTTGTGAGGTCAAAAACTTATGTAAAAGCAACTGAAAAAACAAATTACTCTTGGGTCCAAATGCCGCTCGTATTCCAATTATGCCGTTGGTAAATTGGTTTCAGTACATTTTGGATGTACTTCTAAAAATATATACTTTGGACCCGAAACAAAAATGATGTAGAACTATCAGAATAATTCCGGCAGTCAAAAATCGGTTTGCCTTTTACTGTCATTAATACAACGTTTCATTAGGCAAAACCTCCAACCTTTATTCGTGGTTCGTAATCGGTATTTCGGAATCCAGTGAGCAACAAATTCATGACCTTTGTAAATGCAGCGACCGGTGCAAGACTTGTTTCACCTTGTAACAACAACCCGAGGTCTAACAAACGTTTCCAGTTCAGCGCTTTTCGCCTGCAAGAGAACTAAATTATCGACCTCAAGTTCCTCAATAAATACCTAAAGGTTCTTATTTGTTATTAATTATTCTGCTAAAAACGTGCAGTTCATTAACTTCATCAAGTAGAAATTGTCGATAATGAATTGAGCCCGAGTAATTTCGTCAAAAGAGTTTAGATCAGTTTTTAGTTGGTTGTAGATAGAACTCCATGTATCGTCGTCATACCATACCATTACGAAAGACTATAAAAAGTTGAATGTTACATATTCCCCTTTATAAATAATTTATTATAATATTTTCAGTTTGTTACCTTTGATACCATAAATCAGTTATAATTATAAATTGAAATAAAAAGAAAACTCTAAGAATCATAACCTCAGTTTGGTATATCAGGCCATATAGCACTAGTACGTCAGTCGGAACAACATGTTTGAAATATTGATAAGCCGTTAAGAAAAGTGAATTTTGAGCATAAGTTTTGCTTACCCGAAAGCCAACATTGTCGACTGAAGCAGGGCTCTCAACCTGTCGTGTCCAATACGGGTCATTGCTGTCTTCAACGAAGAAGTGCAGACTTTCTTGTCCTAAGTATGAAATACCGATTTACGATCAACGATTTTGGTTTTTTGACTGCAGTAACCTATATCTTTACGATTCTGTTCATTGCCTGTGAGACATTTTAGCTAGTGGTCAAAAAATATGCAATAAATTATGTTAACAGGGCAAGGCACCTAGCGTACAGCGCAAGACCGTTCTTAGCTGCATAAGCCTTCACCTGCTTGTTTCATTGAAAAATTATTTTGAGTACCCAGTGAAAATGGCCTTCCTTTCTCTTATGCGTTTACGTTTATCCTTCTTACTCCGACCCCCACACAACTAGACAGAAAACAAAAGACTTGACTCAAGCAAATGTTTTAAGCGAGACGAATTTGCAGCTGATTAACGATGGTTAAAAACAAAAATATTCACGGTGACGTCATACTGTTTTTCCTTTTTTAACAGCATAGTTGTCAATAATTAGCAAAATGTATACTTACTCATAAGTAAACAAAGGCTTTTCAGCTTCACTATTTTTGCCAGCTTTTGCGCAGTAATCTGCTTTATGATAATAAGTAACTGAATTTATATCCTTTATGAAAGGTCTTTTTACCAAATTAAGGTAAATAGAAACTGCAATCTTTAATTTGTCTGTTAATTCTACCTGCATATCCCAAGACAAATTCAAAGATTTTTTCAATAAATAAGTGCGGCTTTGCAGATGACTGGAACTGTCGCAAGCAGGTTAAAATTTTCGCAGCTCTCCTTGAATACTGTTTTAAATGCCTTTGGCAGAATAAAAGTAAGAGCGTAAAGTAGCTATGTACAAAAATTTGATTTAAACGCTGTTTTTGCTTTTTGAAAGTGACATACGTTGAGCTAAGAAAAAAGCCTTTGAACAAATTGTAATTTTACTGTAAGAAAAAAGACTTAAAGTTGACATATTAGATGTTGTATGGAACTTTCAAATGCCATTTGCACCATAAATTCCAAAACTTCTCTTTGCCCACTATGAAATCTTTAATTTTGTCAAATACAGCCTCTAATTTCAAAAAGCTATTTTTTCTGTTTTCTGCCCGTTTAACCTGCTGAAAATAAGCAGGTTCCAAATAGTTGAAATTGCATTTTTTCGCTTTTGGTAAAGTGAACAAAAAATAGAATTTGCCTATTCTAATAGCAACCCAATCAACAAAAAAAAAAATTTTATTAGTCAAAAAAATCAGCGAGAACATCTTGCGAAAAAATTCAACACTATTTACAGTTCATTTTTCTTATGCCAACTAGCTTCACTTTTATTCTATTTATACTAGCTATTATAAGGTGCTCAGATTTTGCATTAAAATGCTGAAAATAGCTTTCTCTTCAGAACCGCTCAATACAGTGAATACGTAGAGTTTCTAGCAGCAAACAAACTAAGCAATAAATAAATGGCTAAAAAAGCTGTTTAAAGAACTTACTGTAGCAGGAGGCTTATATGTTGACAGAGTTTTAGCCTTATTCCAATTAGAATCGAATAAAAAATGTCACAGAAAAATTCCAGATTTTTTGGTATTAATGAATACAAGGATGATTTTTGGTCCCAACAAACTTTTTCATCAGAGGGGCAACAATGACCTAGAAGACTGCTAGTCTAAAAAATTGAGATTTTTTGGCCTGCTTGCGTTTTTTTCTTCAGAATCGCCTGTATAGCAGTAGAACACATGCCACGGGCTTAGGCATTTAGTTTGTTTAAGAGATGGCAATGTTATACTTTGAAAAATTGCGAAGTTCTTTGAATGAAATATCATATACCGTTGGGAGTTTTTGACCAAATTGGTATTGGCCATTTGTATCCGTATTTTCCTTCTGTATGATTCGCTATATCTGCTATATATGGTTCTTGAGAATACTGCATTGCAGCCCCTTTCTTTTCCACTTTTAGTACTGGCAAAGTAGCCTTTAACACACCGTTATATAATTTTGAAATTTTAAATCATGTATGCACTGTATTTCGAGCGCTAAAATAATTTTTTTAATCGTTAACCACTTTTAAGCTGGTCGTGCAAGAACTTTTATATCTCTAAACAAATTTTCTACCTTTTTATCCAGAAATACCTTTTTACCTGGTGCATCCAAGGAGCCATCAGTTCACTAATATTTAGTGGATTGCCGTTCCAACCATCAACTGACTTGTTTAGTGCCTTAAGTTAGTAGTAGAAAATATTGTACTGACCTTATAGTTCTTAACAAAATGTTTTTCAGGAATAGAGAAAAAATTACTTACATTGTTGATTGCATCCCACAAATTAGATTCTATCGCGTTTTTAAACGCGTATTTTTTTATATAATCTTGAAGACCCAGTTGTAAGAATTTTGGACCGATCGTATTGCTCAACATATGAAGCATAGTTGCTCCCTAAAACAACTGTTAAATATACTACAGAACAAAGCTAAGAGTAAAGTAGAAAAGTTGAATCCTACTTTGTGGTAAGTTTCTCCGGTAAAGTAGCTGGGTTTCTCTGCAATTACTGGTTTCGCCAATGATATATCTGTATCATAGGTTAGTGCAACAGTAGCTTTACGAAATCGTTCATACCTCTAAAAATTTTAGAAAAATGTAAAGTAAAAGTTTGAAGAAGTTAATGTATATGCCACTAAAATAAATAAATAATTTGTTTCAGAAAATTCTCAGATATAAAACATTTCAATAGTAAGCAAACTATCAGAAAATGAATCTTAAAATAATCAAACCCTGATAACCTTTGAATCAGTTGAAACAAGAAATGAAAAGTTTATGGCATTTTCTGAAATGCAGTTTCGCCTAGCTATTGACTCAACTTTTTTCTTTGTAAGTTTAAAAAAGAAAATAAATATTTGAAAAACTAACTTCATATTCTGTTTGTTGCTTATGTGTATTCATCAAACCGTTTGTTTCCCAATAATTAGCAAAACCCTCGTTTAGGAAGACTTCGTTCCAGTGCAACATAGTTACCAAATTCCCAAACCACTTAAGAAAATAAACTATATAGACTTTCAGAAAATCAATGATTTACAGAAAAAACAGAAGAAAAAGAATAGTAATTTGTAAATACCAGTTTTAGTGCTGTAACTATACCAGCCACTGGTCTACCTCAAACAAGTTATTGTAAAGTTTACTACCTTTGCTCAAATAGTAAACATTAAGAGTTGAGTTCAATGGGAGTGTTCAAATGTTATCAAGCATGACCTGGTGAATAGTTTCATGAGCGCATACGGATGCAGCATCCATATAAATTGCTGCAGTTGCGTAACGAGGATCCACTAACTCTCTTGAATAATACACATGAATCAATCCCCAGTGTTCTTCGGCGCCAGTTCGATTCGTGTACTGTGGTAAAGCAAGTACGTCTAAAAGTTTAAATTGTTTAATTCTAGCAAATAGAGCATTTTGCATTCACAACCAAATGGTTATAAGTGCTTCCACTTGATCACCAGCATAGAATTTTAGAAAATAATAAAAAAACTTACCGAGCTTGGGCAGTGGATAAGTAAAGTTAAAGTATTCGCCCATAAAGTCAACAGTACCCATCACCGTCTGTAAAACTAATATTGACAGCAGTTACAACTATGAAATTACACTTACCATAACATTGGTTATCTTTTAATGGCCATAAATGCGTCTAGCATACACAAGATGCATTTGGTTTGGCACCACGAAAGTAACATGAAGAAAAGAGAAGAAACGGCCTATAATCAAACCTTTAAAGCGTGTTCTGCGTACAGTTCCATGCCTGTCCAGGCCCAGGTCCGAATCAGTATACCAGTTTTAGAAATAGTCTGCAGAGAAGCAAAGTGCCCTGCAGCAAGCGACAACAAGTAACTAGACATTTTTGGTGTCGGCATAAATCTTGTAGTTGCCCAACCTTAACAGGTTTATTTAACAACTTGATAAGGCATTTTTACTTCTTTTACACAGCGCCAGATTGCGATTCAAGTACCAGCTCACAGTTACCATCAGCTTCAAGAGTTGTTCCTTGATCAGGCATATTTCCTAGAGCAACAGTGTCTGCTGGATGTGACAAGGTTACTGTCCAAACGGCTTTATACTGCGGCTCATCAAAGCAAGGAACAAGAGAACGAGCACTTGGTCCAGATTCAAAATAAGTAGCGAAGATCCACCTGAAAAAAAAATCTTTTTTAATTTTCTTTGGTAACCTATTTGCTGTCAGCGAAAACTCAGATCACCAAAGGCTTGGTTTGGCACTTATGCTTTGTTTTACTTTTGTGTTTGAAATTACTCTAATTTTAAGAAATGAAATGCTCTTTGCAGCAATAGTAAACGTTTTTAGGAAAATATTACACATCAAAATTATACCCACCACGTGTCTCATGACATAGACACTCAGCAATTTCTTCTAAAAAATCTTATACCTACTAGATAATAAAGCAAACTTTTAAGAAGAATGCTTACGCTTTTTTGTCGTTAAATTCAAAATAATTTGTGTTAGTGTATACTCCTTTTCTTGGTTCTCCAAATATAAATCCTGTGTAGTTGATCGTCAAAGTGAAATTAAAGTCAATAATTGCTAGACAGCCATTACTGAGTGTAAACTCGAGAATTCCTAAAAGTGTGAAACAATTTGAAAAAAAGACTTTGAAACTATTTTTTACGTTTTTGATATAATTTTGAAACAATTTTTGAACTAATTTTCAATTTCATATTTTTTTTAATTCAGAAAATTAACAAAAAATGTTTTGTTATACAGGTATAACAGCTCAGTGTTACCATTCTGATAGTCTTTAACAAAATTTTCGAACTGACAAACTCTAGGAGGTGTTTCGGAACTATATAATGTAAATTGAATATCTTCAGGTTGAATTATCAGTCTATGAGCGTTAATACTTATTTTCTGCGTCGTTCGGATTACATGTCCTTTGATCTTAACATTGCAAAAAAGATGTAATTACCAGCTGAAGCAAAAACACGAGAGAACAGAATAACAACGCAATAATCTTTAGACTGCTTACCGTAACACTACCATCGAAGGTTAAATTCTTCCACCATGGATAAAGTGCAGAGCCAGGGAAATACGGCTTTACAATAAGGTCATATGAATATGGTTCCAGGCCTAATTCCAGTGGTTTGATCCAGTTTTCGATGTTCTCCTTGACAATTTCTTTGTTGTCGTACAGATATCGAACTGAAAATTCATTTACAGCAATTAAATTTCAAAACTTACAATGACTTAAATTTGCCATCATTTGTGTACGACACTTACTTATGTCAGGAGTATATCTGACTCGATTCTCTATTTGTTGTTCAACTAAATGTTCATATTTGACAGTCATATTTCGCATTTCATCTGATATGTGTGGAGCTAACTGAGCAGCAATATCTTTCAGCTTAAATTTGATAAATCATCAAGGGTACGAGCAAACTTTGTGTTTTTTAGCTACTTTAACTGACAGCCATCGTTGGTATCTAGTTTTTCTTAGTAATTACGTTAATTCAAATAAAAAAAAGTGCTCGTTTGCATTTAGCACTTCAAATGTTGTTGTTCTAATTACTGACTGTTAAACCCCAATTAATTTTAGCAACAAACAGTGTAAGTGCGTACTTGTTGTAGACGTCTTTCTGAATTCCAGTTTACTGTCATAGCGTTGATATACTCTTCCAGATTGGGTGAGTTAGCCACCACTGATGCATTATTCATTATAAACTCAGCTAGACAGTCACTACCTATTGGATTCTTTGATAAGAAGTAGAGCGGCAAGGAAGCCAAATGGTATTTGTTCTGTGGCAGTCGGTATGTATCCAGCAACAGAGGAATTAACCTTAAACGTAATGTGCTCGTCTGATAGTAACAAGTAATAAGGTAAAAATGTTGAAAAAATTTGTTTATTATTAACTACTGTATTTCTCGTGATTTACTTGTAACAGCAGACTAATAAGCTCTTTCTCAATATCTGATAACAGAAACTATAATTAATAAAACTACCTATGAATATTCTTTTTTGACGGAGTACATGCTAATCCTTCGAGCATAGCATAGTATTCATCGTAATAATAAAAGTTATATTTATATTCCTGATTGTAGAAAGCAAGCAATGCGTCAAAATCGCTATCACTTCCTGCTTTTATTCCTCCACAGTAAACTACTTTTCGAAGATCAGGGTGAATGCTATAAAGAAAAAATAATATGAAATATTAGAAAAAATAAAATGCAAATTAACAAATTTTTTGATTGTTATAGATTCGCCAAGTAAGGTAACATACTTTCATATTTTTAAAAGCGTTAAAAAGTAATATTAGAGCAGATAATAAGAAGATTATAAGTTAAAACACAACTTTGTAGCACCATAACTTTTTTAGTTCCTGAAGCTTTTCATGAATAAATATATGCTAAAAGAAGAAAATACTTTGTGCACAGAGTAGTTCCATTTTGAGCGTTTTTACAGTCTTTCAAATATTGGAGAAAATATTCCTGCGCTTTTTCAGTAGCGCCAGGTACATCATATCTGACGGCATACGGAAAAGTCAAGTACCGCAGCACACTGGAAATATATGTTTTCATTGATAAACCATTTCAAACTTGTGATTCTGTATTTAGTCGTCAAAAAACATTAAACTGATTTAATTACTCAGAAACGTGAAAAGGTTAGAAAAATATAACATTATTTTCTGCGTACTCTTTCTCCCACTCTCCACTTATATTCCAGCCAAGAAATTTGTATGTACTCTCAGTCAGCCGTCGCACAAACAGCTATAAACATTAAAAAGTTGATACATTTTACATAATAACATGTTAATTGTTAATAGTGCAAGAAAACCATCAGGTCTTGACATGAAAATTTCAACAGAATAGTAAGCATGTGACACATTCAGTTCAATAAACTATTAAGGCAGATTAGTTAAAGAAGAATTACTGGAATTACCTTGAAAAGCCCGTAATCAGAAGTATCTATAAACATTGTCTCAAGATCCTTCAAAAAAGAATTTTGAGCTAGTTCGACAGCTCCAAAATTAGGATCAGAAGTTGGTAGAAGTGTATCAAGCATTTCCAAAACTCGTTTGAATGTAAACGGTTTGTTAGCAGCTCTTTTTTTGCTAAAGTATCATTTTCGCAAGTTTGATTCTTAATAATAAATTCTTTTCATTGTATAAAATTTACGTTAACTTTCGAGCTCTTCTAGTCGATAAAACTATAAGCAAACTTTGTTTTTGCAATTTACATTGAATAATTTTGTAAAGCTTTCTATATCAAAAAATTTTAAGCAATAGGTGATTTCTAAAGTTAATAAACAGCAAAGCTTCTAATCACTTGGAAAAGTCTAACTTCATCAAAGCTATTTGGTCTCCGATTAGTACAATTTTGTTAGCAGGAGAAATCTTTTCTGGGTGTAACAATAGTCTTTTCAGCAGTCGATCGTATCCAACGTCATCATACTGAGTTCTCATAAATGCAACAGATTGTGTGTTATACAGTTCCCAATGCAAAGCCTTGTTTGATGGTTTCGCCATTTGCTTCCGACAATGAGTTTTAGCATAATCTAAGAATCAGCTCAAATTACAGTTGAGTTAAACTCATTAAAAAAATTTTTTTTGATTTTATTTTAATAAGCTTTATAATAAGTAATTCAAAGTAAAATAAAATTAGAACCAGGAACTAGCCAGTCGACTGATACAGAGCCCTCATTCGTACTCTTATTCCTATAGTTTTCACTGTATAAAGGAATTGGCCACGTGTAATTATAATTTGTCATAGACTGTGTGCCATTTTTAGGAAGAGTGTCAATGCTGTTGAATGGTTCTTGAGTGACAACGGCAGGATCTAATGGCTTATCATTCTTCACTGTGATCAGCGGAAAGCTCTGCAAAAATCGGTTTTTTCAAAGCTGAAATTGATCTGACGAAAATACAGTAAAAAAACAAAGAAAAATGATTTTCTGCTAATTTATGAGTTGAGGAAATAGCAACATCAAACGGAAATATAAATTTCAAAATTCTATATGTTACTTACAATGAAAGGCAATTTTAGAAAAAGCATTGCTTATTCAGTTTCAAAATTATAAAAAAGAAATTCCTAATAATTAAAAAAGATAGCTTATATATGACGACGTAGACTCGAATAGTCCAAAGAGAGAAGAAGTTTAGTTTATTCAGTTGCTTATTAGTGTAGTAATAATAACTGCAACCTCTTCTTTAGCTCTTCTTGGAAAAATCTATTATAGACAAAACAATTAAAAAATATTTGTTTTTCATGATACGTTTCGGTATGAAACAGCTAATTTTAGTTGCTTTAGTTATAAGAAAAATTTGTTTTTGTACCGAGAACTTTATAGCAGCAGAAACAAATGACGCAAGAAGATGCTTTCAAATAAACAGTTTAATAGGTAAAAATCAAAAATTAAGTTTTGGTCTAGTTCGTAGACTGAATTTTTGACTAGCAGTGATTAACAAAGAGCTAAAGTAATTGCTTATTTATATTTAAAAATGATTCCAAAGGGCAAAACGCAAGCTTGAAACTATAAAGAACAGCTAGAAGTTTAATTATATAGTCAATTTTTCGGAATAAATGCTGAAGAGTCACGCTAAGCGAGTTAACCGGTAATATGAGAGTAGTATTTATTAGAGAGATAAAGTGCTGATATTGAGTAGAACTGAACAATTCTACTGATATTCTGAAGAACATGGTTTTATGAGTCTTTTTTTTGAACTGGTTCAGAGTAAAAAAAAAAACTAATACAACAAACTTCAGATGTTTCAAATTTTAAACACATTGAGTGTTTAAAGCATAATCTACCAGTACTGGAGGCTTCAACATGCTCTTGATCTCAGTTGTTAAGTACTTTTACAAATTATTTGGCCATTATTTTTTTGTGTTTTCAAATGCCAAACTTTTTGACAATAAAAGAATTTTTTACAAATTTTGTATACTTCGTTTGTTTGAGTTAAATCCTCTTAATTGTTGATCTTAATTTTTTTTGGGTTTACTTGCTAAAGAAGGAGATGTAATGGTTAATCATTACAAGGCAAAAATTCAGTTTCTAAACTAAGCAGAAAATCAAGGTCTTCAACATTATTTATTGTTTTTAGTTTTTTTCAGTACTAGGTTCCTTCAAGAAGAGATTAAGAGAATATTACAATTATTATCGTTTTATCAGTAAGCAATCGGATAAATTGAACTTTTTTTCCTCTTCGGTCTGTTCAAGTTTTTGTCATCATTAATAAGTCTTCTTCAGTAATCGTAGTGATTACAGATCTACAAGTTTTTAAAATTCATATTACATCATAAGCTGCTGTTCTTTAAAGCATAAGAGGTAGAAAAACTATAGCGCAGATTGCTTTGTCAACTACAATGACCAGAAGAGCTTTATAAAACTAAAACGCTTAGCATTAGAAAAAGGAAACCTGAGTTTTAAGAATTCTAAAAAAAAAGCACCCTTTCTTCTTCGTGATCAAATTATTCAAAATTGGATTTTTAATTTGCTTTGCTCACAGTTCGGTTGAAAACATTTGCTGTTAGACAGTTAATTGCAATACCTGTTGATAAAACCATGGTTTCAACCAGATAGACGCATCGAATGGTTCGTTGCACCAATCTTTCATGTTATTTCGTTTTGCTGCCTATAAAGTTAACTACACTTGATCAGTAATTCAACGTTGTTGTTGTGTTTTAACTGCTGTTTTGCAGGGGAAAGATCACTACTGAAAATGCAGGCATACTGCTAACATCTGTAAGTTTTTGGAAAAACATATCGTGGTTGGCATTTCCATACTTATACGTAGCTATATAATCTTGTATTGCTTCTTGGAAAATTTTCGGACCTAATACATATCTCATCATCCGAAGCAGCGAAGAACCCTTGAGATAGGTGATATCTGAAGACATAAACTTTTTTTGCATTTGATTTTGCCTATTTCGATAAAATGCAGCTACATTTTAAATTATTTTTAAAAAAAATATGTAAAAAAATATTTTCTTTCGCAGAAATCTTTTTTCAAACAATTACAGCAAAAAATTTTTTGAAAGACAGAACAGCTAAATATTTTTTTCAGTTTGCTAAATTCCAGAAGAAAAAATACTCACCATCAAAAGCAGGGCCATCCCAGTAAAAGAGTGCATGGGAACTATCAACTATGGCGTCAGAGACCAGCGCTTGTTGCATTGATTCCACCAAAAACTTTTCCTCCTGTAGCACTGAGTAAGTTCGTACGATAATAAGTTACAGTTTCTTCTGCTCGTAACAAATATGTGGAAAAAAAATTTTCTGTTGAGAAAAAACATTTTTGTGAAACAGAACAGCTCAAGAATATCAGCTGCTGAATTTGCAACAGGTAAAACTAACAAGGAAATTTTGTTGTTCTTTAAATGCGAGTTGAGGAGCAAAATTTTCGAAGAATGCAGCCATTCCTTCCTGCAGAAACAGGTCGTCCCACCAAGCTGCCGAAACTGTGTCGCCGAACCATTGATGAGCAAGTTCATGACAAACCACTCTTACTGCTGCTTGTCTGTTGTAAGTGTTATGAATCTAAACGAAGGCTTTGTTACTGCACAATTTTTGGTACTTGATACATCAAGATTTCTTTGCTAGTGATACAAACTAACACTTTTATAGTAAAAACTTTCATTCAAAAATTATCAAAAACTCTAAAACAAAAAAGCCAATATTTTTTCATACCGCAGGATTAAATGCAATGAACTGATATTTGTAGATTATTAAACCCCAGTTTTCCATCGCACCGGCAACAAATTCTGGAAGCCCAAGTTGGTCTAAAACAAAAAGCTAAATTTATTTAAAAAACGACTGACGATGTAATGCAAATATATTTAATAATTTAAATTCAGAATTTGACAACAATAATTTTACCTGATTTAGCCATAGGATATTTGAAATTGGTGAAACGAGCCATCGCATCTAAACATTTTACAGAATTATTTACAGAAGTTTCAAGATCTTTTTCTTGACCTGTCCAACCCCAGACGCGTACCTGCAGTAATAATGAATTAGCTGTTATCTTTGCTTAATTAGTAACATATTCTAGATAAAAAACACAAAAATCAAAATAAAAAATTGAAAACTGCTGGTCCGGAGTTGTAGGAAATTTGAATGCTTATTGTACTCGCGTACCAAGACGCCATCCTGTGTAGTGCTGGAACGGCTGACAAATGGACCGACGGCAAAAGCGACTAAGTAAGTGGACATCTTTAACGATGGGGGGAACTGTATGACATTCCAAACAGAGCTAAAGAAAATATATATCGTATTACACTTCTGTCAGCGTTAATCAGGCTGTTATACTCAAAGTTATCAAAAAATTTAACATAAATTTTTGTAATATTTTTCTCAATAACAGGAAATACGTCAGCTACTAATCAGCCGGCTGATAAATTCTGATAAAACTTTTAGACTGATATTTGTAGCTTATTCTTTACCCAAATAAGAGAACCTTTTACTGTTTTCTACACGATACATGCTAGCCATTAAAAACACATTGCACATTTTTCCCTTTTCTCTGCCTCTTCTCGTTCTTACATAAGACAGTATTTCAAAAGCTTTTTTGAGTACATAAAATTGTCTTTAATTCATTATAATGTCACATATGTTAAAAAAAAAATTTTTAAAACTTTTAAACCTTAACAACTTTTCTTCTTTCGTTTTTTCTTTTTCAAAAAAGGCATTACTCAATAAATCTTTTAAAAAACTTTATTTTTAATCTAGGCTTTCAAGAATTATGTGTAAAATGTATGCAGAGTATAGAAGCCGACGAAAATGCTACTAAGACAGCTAACAATCATCAACAGCAATCAAAAGACAGTTAAGAGCGATTTAAACTTACTTTCCGCTTGTTATTTGATCGACTCGTAGAGGTTCTCGTTCCATGGTGTTTGCTAAAGCAACATAACCTTCTGGATAAATAAGAGTTAAATGAAAGACGGCTTTAAATGCAGGTTCATCCATGCACGGAAAAACTTGTCGAGCTGAAACTGCTTCCATCTGTGTTGCAATCATCCAACTAAATCATTTGCAATGCTTTTAGATATACAAATCAAAAAAAATAAAGGTTTTTTTTTTGAGGATTATTAAAAAATATAACCTTTTGTAAAAATATTTTTATTGTTCTACAATCACTTTCGCTGTCTTATTTTTACAGCTAAGAATACTGTTTTAAAAATTTTATATATATGTATGCTTACTGCACTTTTCCATTGATATCCGTATACGAAGTGTAATAAATGCCGCTAAGTTGATATGGATTAATCTTTCCGCAATATTTAAAGTGTAAAATATATTTCTTTCCTACTACAGGAATATGATCTATTGGTTTAATTACCTGCAAAACAACTGTATGCATTACATATCTGTAAGCTTTTTCATTGTACAATCATTCCTGTTATATAGTTTTAAACAATAAAAAAGCTTTTTTATAATTTATTTACTATTTTTTCTTTATAAGTTTACTTACAATTTGTTGAAATGTATTGTTATACGTTAGTGTTGATGGAATTAGTGTAGCATTTTCGTCGTATAATTCTGTTTTACTAATGTCCAATTCAACGGAATGAAGAACGAAGTTTTTTGTACTGTTTTTCACCCGAAATATGAATGTCGTCTCACCATCAAACGTCATATTATCCTCTGTCATAAAAACATAGTCTAACTATATCGTCTTTTTTTTAAAAACAATAGTTAAAAAAGATAATTGATAAGTGTAACAAAAGCAAAATTTTTTAATTTGACAATAATTATTTTTGAAGCTGTTTTTGTTTACAGATTAATAAATTTATAGTGCTAACTTTCTGGAACAGGTACTTTTTCGGTTGGAAAATATGGTTGAATACGAATATGATAATGTAACGGTTCAAGCACATCTGGAACACGTCGTATTCGTTGATCATCAACTCCTGGTAACGGTCCAGAATACTTCCGATCTTTGTTAAACTTGTGATGGTCATTATATTTGACTGTAAAGTTTAACTTTGGCATAAATTTGTACTGTTGTTACGGTAACAAACTTCTAATTCAATTCAGTTTTTTTGCGGTGGAAGAGGAGGTATACTCTTCAATGCTTCTCAAAAAAAATGCGTTTAAAACAAATAAAATTTTTTGCATAATTGATATAATTGAATAATTTGCTAAAAAAAAAGCAATCTTTTCTGCGTTGTTTTTTTACTCAAAATACAAATGTCGTCTCATCGTCAAATGTCATCCTCTCCTCTGCGATGAAAACACAGTTTAACTATTTTGAACTTTTTTTGTTTCCATTAAACATTAAATTTTTATATAGTACTAGAAAAAAAACTTGATTTGTTTCAAAAACAGTAGTTAAAAAAGAAAATTAATAAGCGTAACAGCAATAAAAATTTTTTTGTTGTTCAAAGCGTCAATTTAGTCAACAGAATTTATTTACTTTTATGTGCAAAAATCGTGTTATTAACCCTAAAAGAGCCTTTTTTTTCTACATTTTTATAGCGTTCTATCATTTAAAATTAAGTGAGAAACAGAAATTTATTTTTTTCTTCTGATTTGGAACGTTACAGAAGCTACAAAAGTTATGACTGCTGTCAGTCGCTAATAACAGCTGTAATTTTTGAGTGCTTAAAAATAAGTAGCTTTTTAACAGCCTTAAAAAAAAAAAAGCTTCATATAAAATGATAAAATTTTTTAAGTATGGTGCTCATATGGTTATAATTTAGACAGATCACCAAAACTTGATAAACATCTGAAAATCTATTAACATTTTTTCTCAATTCTGTGCACTTAAATC